AAAAAAAAGGTTATGAAAGTGCCACTTGAACTGGGAGGGGAATTTTAATTGTGGTCTTGATATAGACTTCATAAAGCACGCTGTCACTCTGACTTAGCTAGTGAAGACGTCGGCATGAAAACTCTGTTGACTGACATTGATAGGCACCCGTGCTGATTTTCCAACCTAGGATCCACATTTCGTCCTCGATGTTCCCCTTGGAGTCATCAGCCGAGTGGAGAAGATCGGAGTGCAGAGCCACGGAGACAATTCTTGTGGTATAGAGATCGTGTGCAAGGTAGAATACAAACACACACGGAAACCAAAAGGGAGCAACCAGCTCGGCGCTGTTTCTGACTCCTTCTTCTTTAGACATGAGAGTAATTTGTACCGTTAGGGACTCAGATGTTTCTTCAGAACAGAGACGCCTCCCAATCTTAGCTAATTAAAGCCATTATAGAACTGTTGAAGTAAGCCTTTCCTTTTCCACTGAAGTATTTCTAATTAGCATGGACCTCTAACCCCAGTGCTAACATTATCTGTTAGCACTCTGAGAAATCAAGCTGAAAGCAGAGATCAATACTTTTTTCCAGTTTGTTAAGACGACTCTTCAGAACAGTGGCTGGTCAGAGCCCTTCTAAAGGGTCAGCAGTATTCCATAAATTGTGACCAAAACGTGGTTGTGTTTCCTGGCTGTGTTGTTGCAGTTTTCACCTTGAGCCATGCTTATTTTGGGTTTTGTATCTTTCCTCCAATGAGTTAAGTACAAAATAACACGAAGTGACTTTAGTAACGAATACTCATTTAAGAAACACTCTTCACAGAGATGTTTTATTCCCAATGACTTTACCTCATGCAGTACAGTTTATTTTAAAAGTTGCGAGCTGAATATAGTACCCAGGAAAGAGATCCTGCTTCCAGAATTGTCAAGGACCCTTCTAAATTTCAGGTTTGGATTCCTGTAGTTTATTTAAGCAGCCCCCTATTTATGAACATGTAGGGTTTCCCCTTCTTTCACTGTTATAAATAATATCACAACAATAACTCCTTTAATTCCCCCATTGCTATGGCTTTAATTGGTTTGTGGTCATATTTTTCATATTTCGTACAGTGTTAAAGAAGAATGAGACTTTTACATTTAACTAATAGGAGCAGAGGCTTAAAAAGGTTGGGAAGCACTGCTTTAACTGTTGGCCTGGGAAGAAGTCACACCATCAGAGTGGGCTTTGCTGGGGTGGTTTCCACTGACTTGAAATCACACCGTCAGAGTGGGCCTTGGTGGGGTGGTTTCCACTGACTTGAAATCACACCGTCAGAGGGGGCCTTGCTGGGGTGGTTTCCACTGACTGGTGCTTGGAGCTTTTGCAGCCACTTGCATTGGGGGCATTTTAGGAAATTGATCTCAAGGAACAGCATCATAACTGCTGTAAGGATGCTGCTGAGGGCATTAGTCTCCCTGTGAAAGAGTCCTTCCTATGAGTACCCAGGGGAGAAACGTCTCGCATTTCTAGTTTATGGATGGTGTGAATTCTGTAACTAACTGTTTTGGCAGCTTGAAAATTCACAACTACTTCTGTGGCACCCTGCTAGCAAGTGAGTGCACAGGACATGACAGCCCACCTTCTGTGTGCTAAGCCTATTCTTGTTTCAGCTGACAATTTTCCCCTCACACATCCCCTTTGTTCCAGTTTGCTCACTTCATTTTTTTTTTAATCTTGTTGGAGGTGTTTTTATTAATTGCCTTTTGTTAGTTGGAGCAAGATAGATAAAATGAGAAATGAATAAAAATATTTACGTATGGATTTGAGGCATGGTGTCCCTCCTCGGTACTCAATACATGTTGAATAAATGAGCTTTGCTAATTGTTTAACAGGATATGAGGAATTTGCGACTTGCTTATAAACAGGAAGAACAGAGTAAACTGGGGATATTTGAAAACCTCAACAAACATGCATTTCCTCTTTCCAATGGGCAGGTAAATACACCAAAATAAACTTTTTTGCATAGTTTTCTGAGGGTCCTCTTCCTAAAGGCTTCCTTTGTCTCTCTGTATTTCTCTGTTGGTAACTAATATTAGAGCATTTGAAATTCCTCACTTCCATGTAATGACTAAGAAAAGCTGCCAATTGTTACTTCAAAATGTACAGATTAGAAAGGGAATCCTAATGCATGCAGTTCATATCTGAACGAAAAGCTTTAAAATTGAGTATATGATATAAAAAAGAATTACTGACATACATGTGTTTTGTGATTTTACTTTTATCCAGATGCTATTTGCATTCAACTATAAGGAGAAATTTCCAATTAATGGCTGGAAAGTTTATGATCCAGTATCTGAATATAAGAGACAGGTAAAGTATGATGTTTAGCAAACTGAAAACAGTAGATTGAACATCTTTTGCTCTTATAAAAGGCTAGGAGTGTAATGGAGACAAAGCCTTTTAAAACAAGTTGAACATGGGTCTGGCTTATCTAGTTTGTAAGTGCTTCATCTCCTGGGTGCCCCCTTCTTCCTACTCAAACCTTTAACTATGTCATGGTTTGCTCGTCCTTTCTCCAGAGGGTAAGTGGGATACAAGGGCAGGGATTTAAAAACCAAACCTGCCAGATGGTTTTTATGAGATGTTCTGGTAAAGAGCTGATGAGAAGGATTGAAACCAATAGCTTAAATTAGATGTTAAGTGTATCAAACCAAAAAAACCCATTGCCATTGAGTTGATTCCAACTCATAGCAACCCTACAGGACAGAGTAGAACTGCTGCATCGGGTTTCCAAGGAGCAGCTGGTGGATTCGAACTGCTGACTTTTTGATTAGCAGCCGTGGCTCTTAACCACTGTACCACCAGGGCTCCGTTAAGTATACAGCATGACTAAGTCAGTCTGACATAGTGTTCCTCTATCTGGGACCTCTTTAGTATGTTGTCAGTTTCATGTTATTACAACAAGATATTATTTTTCATGCCATTTCATCTTTGTCTCTGCCTTATAGTTGATGTAGTGTTTTATATTACTTATTTTAGACATTTGTAAGAAACATCCATTTTTTCTGAAGGACTTTTCTGTGTATTTTCATTTTTATTCTTAAAACAACACTGTGTTCATTCTTATATACAAAACAAGATACAAAATGTATAGGACTCAACTTCTGGTGTATAATTTTCATTTTTTAGTGTGATCTGGAAATTCTTATGCTTCATGAGATTTTTAGAAATGACTAGGAAACAGGTTAGATAAGTATACTTTTAAGTAACAATGAACAATGAACTTTAAATGAATTTTAGTTGAGAATAAGAAATGGGTGTGGTTCCTGCTTTGTACTTTTGAAAAGTCTAAAAGTATGTTTTCTTCCTCTCCCTTCTTCTCTACCACTTCACAGGGTTTGCCCAATGAGAGCTGGAAAATATCCAAAATCAACAGTAATTATGAGCTCTGCGACACCTACCCTGCCATCATTGTTGTGCCAACTAGTGTCAAAGATGACGACCTTGCAAAAGTGGCAGCCTTTCGAGCAAAAGGCAGAGTCCCTGTAAGTAGCAAACGTTGTCACTTAGAGATAAACATCCACTGTATTAGATTTCACATGGAAAGATGCAAGACAGAAAAGAATCTAGTGAACAAAACATGAAGATATCTTTGATACTCAGGAACTACCTAATTACATAAACATTCTGTTTGCTGTGGCTTCCCTTTGCATGAATTCATATTACTAAGTGCAAGGCAAAGTTAAAATTTTTGCACCTGGCTAGAAAGTTCTGTCCTCAGAAGGTAGTAGAGAATAGCAAAGGAGTAGCAAGAAAGAGCATGCTATTTCATTAACAGTCCACATCCCTGGTTTCAACTAGTCATCCTAGAGAAAGTACACTCTCTCTCTCATGCTGAGTGGGATGTTGTTGCTGCCTGGGAGGGAAGCCATTCCAGAAATAAACCGAGAAGCCTGCAGAGAGTGAATGTTGTTGAGCCCACAGTTAGCATCTGGTATAATCCCGAGTCACTTGGCCGCTGGAGGAAAATGGGAGGCTTTGAGGCACAGTAGTAGGTTGTCCTCACTCTGCCGTACATGGCATGTTAAGAACACGAAGGTGTTTCTAAATGAGAAGAGAATGTAAAACTAGTCAATCAAAGATGACTGAGGCTAGATTTTAGTAATAGTTTGACTTAGTTTTTGTTTTACTTCGAGTCCTCATGTTTTAGAGGTGGAAGGGGATTTTTACAGCTCATCTAGTCAGACTTGTTTCAACCTGACCCAAAATGTAAAGTCCCACGGCTATTACAGTGTTGTGATTGGCCCAACCCTCTCACCTTTGGGGACTGTGTGCAGGAGAGACTGTGTTTGAGCAGGGAACTTGTTTCTACTACCTAATCATTAGAGTATGTGCTGTTTCAGGAACTATACTAATATTTGTTGGGTAAAACTACTAGGTGTTGTCATGGATTCATCCAGAAAGTCAGGCAACGATCACCCGTTGCAGCCAGCCACTTGTGGGTCCAAATGATAAGCGCTGCAAAGAAGATGAAAAATACTTGCAAACAATAATGGATGCTAACGCCCAGTCACACAAACTTACCATCTTTGATGCCCGGCAAAACAGTGTCGCTGACACCAACAAGGTGCGTTCGCAATAGCGCTGCAGACACAGTGCCTATTTTCTTCTCTACTGTTGGTAATTCATTATGCTGTTTGAATAGCCTGTTGAATCCTCGCCCCCTGAAGTGAGAATCCTTTTGAGTGGCCCATAGCTAGCCCTCACCGTTGGTATTAACCAGGCAAACATATTTAAAGGCAATTTGTTATCTGGAAACTTACTAAAGGTAAGAATAGGACAAATAGTAAGCAGAAAATGGAGTTGTGGAATAAATCGAGCATGAATACCTACTCTGTTACAGGACAGAGAGAGAGAATGGGTACCTGGAGGTCTTGAGGCAGAAGAAGGGGAAGGGGGTGAAAAGGGGACCCCACCTATGCCCTGGCAGGAATGGGGTGAGGGATGGCTCAGAGAAGACAAGCACATGGTGGCTAGACTTCCATGGGAGTAAAGCAGGGCCTGGAGAGAAGTTAGTGATATTGGGACACTGTTACCCACCCACCCCCAAGTCTCCAAGACTAAGCTGGTAGCAGTGGCAGCAGGGCCATCCCCAACCTTCTGGGGAAGAAGAAGCCCGAGTACCCCCTGGGAAGCAGCCATCCAAAGGATAGACCCAGGTTGCCCTGATTTCAGACTAGCTGTTGGGCACTTAGCTCAGGGCTGGCAATACCGTTCACTCGGTAAGTGGCTGGAGATGGATGAAGACTGGAGTCATGGAGTCTCACAGATGTGTTTTGTTTTTTGTTTATTTTTTTAAATTGAGGTTGAATTCACATAACTGAAAATACCATTTGAAAGCGTACAATTGAGTAACTTCCAGTACATTTATAATGTTGGACTACCGTCAGCACTATCTATTTCCCAAAGTGTTTCATCACCCCAAACAGAAGCTCAGTTCCCCCTAGGAAATAACTCCCCACTCCCCTCTTCCCCCAGCCCCTGGTAACCACTTCTAAACTTTGGTCTGTATGCATTTCCTTTCTAGATACTTCATGTAAGTGGGATCATACGCTATTCGTCCTTTTATGTTTGACTTATTTCACTCAGCATAATGTTTTCAAGGCTCACTCATGTTGTGGCACGTATCAGAACTTCATTTCTCCTTATGGCTGAATAATACTCCATTTGTATGGATAGACCACATTTTGTTTATCCATTCTCCATTGATACACACTTGGGTTCTTTCCGCCTTTTGCCTATTGTGAATAACGCTGCAACGAACATTGGTGTACAAGTATCTGTTTGAGTCCCTGCTTTCATTTCTCTTGGGTATGTACCTAGGAGTGGAATTGCTGGGGCACATGGGAGTTCTACGTTTAACTATTTGAGGAGCTGCCAGACTGTTTTTCACAGCAGCTGCGCCCGCCTACAGTCTTTCAGCAGTGCCTGAGACTTCCAGTGTCTCCACATCCTTGACACAGATGTGTTTGGAATGCTGGCCTCTATCAAATATAAGCTACTTACAGGCCAGATTTTGTTATAAGATCACCAAGAGGTGAGCCATAGCTCCCTTTTGTTACATTGAAATCAATCTTAAATCAGTCTGTTTGGAACTCGCAAACTGTTTAATAACAGACATTTTTTTGTAATGCAACTTTTCCTATTCAGGCAGATGGCACTAACAGACATGACCTTTTCAGACCTACCTCTCCTTGAGTAAAATCCAGTTGTTAATGTGTAAAACTGACAGTGGGTGATGGTGGATGTAGGAGGTTTATTAACAGATCCATTTGTGTTTTTTAATAGTCTGTAGCCAGTAACACTAGAAAGAACAGAAGAGTTAACTGTCAGTGATGTCATCTGTATCTGTGGTTTTTAACAGGCCAAGGGTGGAGGCTATGAAAGCGAAGGCGCTTACCCAAACGCTGAGCTCGTGTTCTTGGAAATCCACAACATCCACGTGATGAGAGAGTCACTCCGGAAACTGAAGGAGATCGTTTACCCGGCCATCGATGAGGCCCGGTGGCTGTCCAACGTGGACGGGACGCACTGGCTCGAGTACATAAGGGTAAAGCGGTCCCTTCTTTCCAGTGCTTTCACCCGAGGAGTCTCTTTGTCTGCACCATAGAGAGAGAGTCAGGCCATCTCTCAGCGTGCCAAATGCACGTGTCTTTGCTGGGTACTCGACCTGTCTGAGTTTCTAGGGGCAGGAGTCTGTGGTCTGTAGGGGCTTCTGTGAGAGAGAAAGATGATGACATCTACTTACCTCAGATCAGGTTGTAAAAGAATGTTGTGGCCCTTTAATAAAGGACCATATTTACTATAAGTTTTGTTTAAGCAATGCTAATGTTTCCTGTGATTCTCAGTTTATTGCGCGACATGATTTTATCAACCTGAGCTTCCAAAGTCCTCCCCAGAATTATTTTATGTTGTAATAGAAATTAAATGTACAACATGCCTTCTTTCCCCAAGACGCTTCTGGCTGGGGCGGTCAGAATTGCCGATAAAATAGAATCTGGGAAAACGTCGGTGGTAGTGCACTGCAGCGACGGATGGGACCGAACAGCCCAGCTCACATCTCTGGCCATGCTGATGTTGGACGGCTACTACCGGACCGTTAAAGGATTCGAAGCTCTCATAGAAAAGGAGTGGATAAGCTTGGGACATAGGTTTGCACTGGTAAGTTGACATGGTTAGGTTCTTGCTTGACTTTTCCATCGTATCTGTGTGTGTCTCGTGTAATACACACACACACACACACAGAGACACACACACACAGACACACAGAGACACACACACACAGACACACACACACGTGCTTCCTGCTTTCTGTCAGGCCTGAAGTGACATAATAGAGTACCATGATCTTAAGTGTTGTATGTTCCTGGTAGGGCATTCTCTTCTTTCCTCCTTTTTTTGGAGTAGTTATTGCCTTAAAAAAAAAAAAAAGGAGGAGGTGAAATTCACATGACAGAGAATTAACCATTTGAAAGTGAACAATTCAGAGGCATTTAGGACATTCGCAACACTGCAACCACCACCTCCGTCTGGTTCCAGAACATTTTCATCACCCAAAAAGGAAGCCCCGTACTCATTAACAGTCCCTCCCCAGCCCCCTTTCTCCTGGTCCCTGCTAACCACTAACCGACTTTCTGCCTCTATGAATTTGCCTGTTCTAGATAGTTCAGGTAAATTAATCCTGTAACGTGTGGCCATTTGCGTCTGCTTTCTTTCACCTAGCATGGTATTTGCAGGGATCGTCCACACTGTAGCGTATATCAGAGCTTCATTCCTTTTTATGGCTGAATAATGGAGCCCTGGTGGTGCAGTGGTTAAAGCGATTGACTGCTAACTGAAAGGTTGGCGATTTGAACCCACCAGCTGTTCCATGGGAGAAAGATGTGGCAGTCTGCTTCTGTGGAGATTTACAGCCTTGGAAACCCTGCAGGGTCGCTATGAGTTGGAATCGACTCGAGGGCAGTGGGTTTGGTTTGGTGGGTGGAATATTCCATTGTATGGCTAAACCATATTTTGTTTATCCATTCATCGGTTGATGGACATTTAGGTTGTTTCCACCTTTTAGCTGTGAATAGTGCTGCAGTGAACATTGGTGTACAAGCTTTTGTTTGAACACCTGTTTTCAATTCTCTTGGGTATATACCCAGGAGTGGAATTGCTGGGTCATCTGGTAGGGCATTGTTGGGCTGCTGTTTGGTATTTTAGTATAAATGGCAGCTAATTCCTGGTGTGCCCAGGCACTTGAGCTGTTTTGGATTCACCAATAAAACCTTTTAACTCTAATCCACGATACTAATGTTTAAAAATAATAACAAGAGCAAACATGCTGCCAGTACTGACCATGGACCAGGCACTGTCCTCATTTCACCCTCACAACACCCCATTTCAGAGATGAGGACACCAAGGACCTGATGAGAGCTCCTGAAGCACGTGTTGACTCGCCCCTTCTCTCCTCCCTGGGAGGTGGGCACAGGGAGCATTTTGTAACGGTATTTACTCCTGTGTTCCTGCCACCCCCGCTCCCCAGCAGAGGCTGTTCTCAGTGGGAGGAGAAAGAGCTGTTTGCACCTGGCCACCTCTGCCGGCTCCAAGTCTGGCTCTCCTCCCTGCCTGCTCATGTCGAGTCTCTGCCCAGCCCCAAATGCTAATGTTACCCATGGCTCTGCCCTCACCCTCTTCCCTTCCCATTGACCTTCTCCCTCGGGGACTCACGCATTCCTGTCCTTATTCACCACCTGTGAGGAAGTGACTCTCAACCCGTGATCTGTCTCTGCAACATCGATGCCCCTGAGCCTGTTTCCTCCTCCTCATTAGCACCATGGGGGGTGTGACACAGCGAGCCTCAACTCAGCGGGTCCAAAATGAAGCCAGTGCTCCTTCTTCCTGTGCCACTTCCTCTTCTGGGTTCCTTCTCAAATGATAGCACCTCCTCAACTCTCCCAGCTTGTGTTAGAACCAGCCTTGACCAACCCCCCCCCCCTTTTTTTTTTATGTAATCGTCCATAACAATTACTCACCAGATTCCTACCTGGTAACTATCTTGTTGCCCACTGCTGAATTTAGAACCTAGCACTCTGTCACCCAGGTGATTTGTTGATTCCTGCAGTCAGTCAGTCATTTAGTCAGTCAACAGGTGAACATTACTGAGAACCTGCTATGTGCCGAGCACCTTGCTGGGCCTGGCGATAGAAAGATGAAAGGCATAGGCCCAGCAACACTCCTGGCTCATCAGAGGCCCTCGGTGAGGGTTTGTTGGATGAGCTCTCTCACCTCAGCACTCTCCCGGTCTAGAAAAACAGTCAGGTGGACCGGCGGTGACAGCATCGTTGGAGGGTGGCACCTCTGCCTCAGAACGGGCAGCACAGGGCACTCAGAGCAGGCCTCCCAGAGGAGATCTTTTGATGGGTAGACAAATCAGTGCCACGGAATAGAGCTTCCGGAAACACACCCTGCTGAGCATAAGGAGTTAGTGAATAATAAATGGGTCAGTACAGACTCATGGGGAGAGGAAGAATCATTGGTGAAAGGTTTGCAAATGGTACAGCAGCCCTTGGCCAAACACCAGGTCCCAAATGGAATTTCAGATGAAAGAATGTGAATGAATGCAGAAACCAGAGTTGCAGCCTTTTCTTGTTAATGGGTTGTGGAGGGACTTTTTTTTTTTTTAGCATAACAGCAGTGGAAGCTGCTATGTCCCTTTCACAGGTCTGCAGGTTAAAGACCACTCTGAGATTAACAGTCACCAAGGGGTGGCGGCGGGGGAAGGAATGAGGAGTTAAAGAAAAAGTCCATCAGTGGATGAGTGGAAAAACAAAATGTAGTCTGTCCATACAATGGAATATTATTCAGCCATAAAAACAAAAAAAAGAAGAAACAATAAAAATGATGTTCGAATGAATGTTACTGAATTAGCGAACATTTCTTCTGACAGGTATTTTAGAGCAGCACTGTGAATAAGATGAACGAGGGCAAGTGACCTGTGGGGCATGCATGACCCCCGGTAAATCCATGCCCTTCTTGAAACTCTCCTGTTGCATCCAGGCCCCTACTCTCCCAGGCCTCCCACCGGTCTTTCTGCTGACAGCTTCTTGGGCTCCTTTGTTGGAGGCGGACAAACTTGGTTCAAACCCTTGCTCCTCTTATTAGCTGTGTGACCTTGGGCAAGTTACTTCACCTCTCTGAGCCTGTCTCCTCATCTGTAAAATAGGGATAACAAAAGTCCATACTTGGTGGATGCTGGGAGGATTAAGATAGGATGTAACTCAAGTGAAGTGTGTGGCACTGTGTCTGGGCCATTTTCTCGTCAGCACGGTGCCTGGCATATAGTAGGCACCTGATAAGTGGTACCTAGTCTCTGTTTACTCCTGTTAATGTTTCTCGAGAGTGTGTCCGTGACCCTTCTTTACCCTGCTCCCTTCCCAGATGGTCACAAAGCTAACTCCCAAGCTCAAGACTCTTCCCTCCCCCTGCCTGCTGGCAGCGGGCACCTCGCACAGAGCATAGTCAGGACTGAACGAGTTCTCCCCGCCCCCAACGCTCCTGGTCCTGGACGACAGTGCCATCTACCCAACTGCCAACCCCTCACGCCACGTGGGTAATCAGTGGCCAAGGCTCGTCAATTCTGCCTCAGACGAGCTTTCAAATCCGTCGCCTCCTCTCCATCACCACCGACATCCCTGTAATTCAGTCCTCCTCAACTCCCTCTGGGCTACCATGGCAGTCTGCTAACTAGTCTCTGCTACCTGTCCTCTTCCAATCTGTGTCCCCCACTGTCACCACATGGAGTGTTCCCAAAATCAAGTCTGATGCTGCCGCTGCCTGGCGTAAGGCCCCCAGTGCCCTCCGGTGGCCTGCACGGTTATTCGCAAACTCCTGGTGTGGCTGGCGTGCAAGGCCCCAGGTGATCTGGCCCTGTGCACCTCACCGGCCTCATCTCTCACCTCCCTCCCCTTGCCCGTCCCTCCCCAGCTACTGATGGTTCCCCTCCCATTCTGCACTGCACCGTGGTGTGCTTTCCCACTGTTCCCGGTCACCCGGGAAGCAGGCACCTTCCTGTCCTTCAAAGTTTATCTCAGGTGAGACCCCCTCCAAGACTGTGACTTGTGTGGCTTTCCCTCCCCGTTCTCTTCTGCTGCCCGTGTCCTAGAGGGGTCCACTGGTTCCTTTCTGCCTCACACACCAGCCCCAGACCTGGAGGCCCTCGGAACACTTCTCTCTGAAGTCTTTCTCTTTCGGAAGTCTTTCTCTCTGGCCGAGACCACAAATGAATTATTCGTGGAGCCAGGTACTGGCTCATTTGTCTTTGTAGCCCTGGTGCTTAGCCAGGGGCCTGGCCTCTGCTAGACACCAAGAAAATGTTTGGAATTCTGAGGGCCACACGCCACAGGAGTTCAATAAATGTCTGCTAAAAGGATGAATGATTCCTCAGTTGCAAGCTATCTGTGCAAAACTTCTCTAGGCGCCTTAAATACTGAAGAGTAGGTTCGAAGAATCATTTTATAGGGGGACGTACGGAAATGCGGCAGTGCGCTAGTACTGCACAGGGGCTTAGCGATCCTCTCTCGTAATGTCTTGCGGAGTGGCAGTGTCAGACCCAGTATGTCCCGCTCTTTGTGTGGCGAGCGTGTTGTATTTTCATAGTGTTGCTGCTTTCTCGGCCTTTGTGTTTTGTCGTTATTTGAAGCCTTCGCTTAGAATGCTCACTCTTTAGCTGTTTTTTTTTTTTTTTTTTTTTAACTTGTGACACTTACAGTGATTTTGTCAATCCTGTTTATGGATCCTACCTGTTAGCATGGATCCATTAATATATTATAAAATGACAAAAGGAATGAAACAATACTGGGCTCCTGGAGCAGGGACTCTACCCATTACCATTTCAAAAGGGAGCTTTTGGTATTGTGACTCACGTAGAATTAGTTAAAACTTGTAGATTGTTATCATTTTGACTCTCAGACTTCCTGACATTTCTGGAAAATGGAAAAAAAAAACGGTTTTTACACATTTAGGAAAGAACGGCATTCAGAATGTACTGTAGGAGCTACTAATTGGTGGTCCCATATGACACTTTGCACCCGAAAAGTTTGCTGGCCAGCTGCCTGTAACTTCTTGAGCTCAACTATATTACAGAGAAATTAGAAAAGCAGTATGTAAAAATATAGTAGACTGAACTTTTGTTTCCTGAAAGTAATAGAAGTCAATTTTTAATAAAAAAATTGTTTTATAGAGGAAAACTGTATCTAACTAAACATTTGCCGTTTTAACCATTCTAAGTGCACAGTTCATTGCCATTAATTACATTCGCCATGTGAACACCAGCGTGTCAGGGATCATGTCTAGCAATTTCAGGTGCCACTGGAGAGGACTAGAGCATACAGAAAAATCTATCACCTCTTGTTTCTTTTAAGCGAGTGGGCCACGGTGATGACAACCACGCCGACGCGGACAGATCCCCTATATTTCTTCAGTTTATTGATTGTGTTTGGCAAATGACAAGACAGGTAAGACATCCCCAGTGTGTTTCTGACAGGGCTTCAAACCAATCTGAACTGGTTCAGTCACGGCCGGGGAAGAACAAAAGTGGATGGGAGACTCAGAAGAGGCATAGTGAGCTCCACAACCCGTATGCTGCCTCTGTTTTCTGAGAGGGACTAAGGTTTTCGCAGGGCTTTGACCCATGATGTTTCCTGTTCTGGCTATGGTTCTGAGTCACTCAAAGTTTAAAAATTCGGGTCTGTTCTAGTGTCGCTTCCTCAGCCATGATTAAACTGGGAAGAACCGGTTCAAAGCCCTGGTTCCTGACCTGTATAGCCTTTGAGTGAAACATGTTTTATCTCAAAATTGAAAATCAGGTAACCTTTCACTACACTTTCATTCAAAATGAATTCCTGTGTCTGCGTGTAAACCATGACCCCCTCCGTTTCTTAGCTCTGTTCAATTCTCTTTACTTGCAAATATAAGCAGCAAACTAGAAACAAGCAGTGTCACACCAGAAGTTACCTTGCCTCTGCATAGGGTCCTGCCAGTCCTTGCCCTCCAGCTGTGCAGACCACAGCCCTGCTCCACGGTGGGGTCCATGTCCGTTGCTCCCTTCTCTCCAGGACAAGAAAGCGGGTCCCCTGCGGAGTCAGCAGGCGTTAGAAATGGGCCTGTGACTGACTGCTAGCAAATGGGATTCACCCGGCCAGTCCCGGCTGCTCCACATCTGCTGCAGGCCACAGTGACTCCCACCCAGGGTCGCTGAGGGAGACGCATGGCTGGATAGAATTTGTCATCAGCTGGTGCTCAGTTCTCAAACCCCAGTGCACCAGGAAAAAAAAAAAAACAAAAAACACCAGACCCACTGCCGTGGAATCAATTCCAACTCATAGCAGCCCTATAGGACAGAGTAGAATCACCCCAAAGGGTTTCCAAGGCTGTAAACTTTATGGAAGCAGACTGCCACCTCCTTCTCCCGTAGAATGGCTGGTGGGTTTGAACTGCAGACCTTTGGTTAGCAGCCAAGTGATTAACCACTGCACCACCAGGGCTCCTACCCCAGTCACAGAGCCCCAGAAAAGGCAGGGGCCTGCAGGGGCCCCTCTTCCCCGAGCTAGTCGGCAGATGGCTGCAGTTCAGAGCAGCCTGTAAGGCCTGTGCTGATTTCTCCCTGGTCTCCAACATCCACTCACGACAGGAGATAGTGCTGGGAGAACGGACCGGAACCAGAGAGAAAGAAGTGGCCCAAAGGAGTAGTTTCCTCCACGTGTTTGGCGTTGCCCGGCTGAGGGCAGCTGCGGAAAAGTGAGTCAGGAGCGAGAGCCAGGGTCTAGGCCCTCCCAGGTCACCAGCAGCTCCGGCCTGTGCTGCTGCAGTCACACGGAAGGGAACCGGCTAGAAAGGTGCTGGAGCCGTGCAGTGTTCTGCTGCGCAGATGAGTTGGAGGACCAGTTGTCTAGACCCGGGCTCTCTGAGCGTGGCCCCGGGCCAGCAGCCTCAGCCTTGCCCGGAAACTTGGCCTTGGTGGTTTCACGACTAAACTTTTTTTTTCTCTCCATTGAAGTTTCCTTCAGCGTTCGAGTTTAATGAACTGTTCTTGATTACAATCTTGGATCACCTTTATAGCTGTCTCTTCGGGACTTTTTTGTGCAACTGTGAACAACAGCGATTCAAAGAGGTGAGCGTATCATATCCTTGTCCGTTGCTTTCCCCATTCCTCAGGTGCCTTTCCCGCTAAGTGCCGTTGTAGAAAGATGACTGACCTGGGAAGTCCTTCCTGAGTTCTAGGCTTGGTGCGGTCTGAATGGAGGGCTGGGCTCAAGGCTCGCTCATGGTTCTGCCAGCCCCACCAAGTGTGTCTAATCTTAGAGGCTGTCTGAAACAAGCCCTTACTTTATGGGTGGTGGGGGTGGCCGCTGGGAGCCAGCCCTGTCTGTTGAAAAGACTGTTCTTTGTGGAAAGAGTGGGCTTGGCACTATTGTTGAAAAGCAGTAGACCGTAAATGTAAGCATTTATTTCTGGACTCTCAATTCTGTTCCATTAATCACTATGTCTATCCTTATGCCAGTACCACACCGTTTGGATTACCATTGTTTTGTAGTGAGTTTTGAAATCAAGAAGTGTGTCCTTCAACTTTGTTGTTTTTCATGATTGTTTTGATCATTCTGGGTCCCTGGAATTATTACTGGTTTTTTCCCTTATAAATAATATATATATGTATATAAATGAAAAGGTCATAATTGAATGTCCTGTGTTTAGTTTGTGAGGAAGTAAGCTGGCCTGTGAACCAAATGGTAGAAAACATCTCCTGGCCTCACCATTTTCTCATTTTGACTTAGCCATTGTGCTTGGTCCATGTTTAATGTTATCTGTCCCACCAGACCTGTGGGTTTGGGTGTTTTCTTTCAGATAAGCAATGCAATAGATAGTGTTTCTAAACAGTGTATTGTACAATTGGGGGGGATGTGACTTAGTGATAGATTTACCTCTCTCTATAAAGCTTCCTCAGCCTGCAACTCTGGCCACAATTTTCCAATGAAGAATTTTATCTTAACTATAAATTCTACCCACACTCCTTAATATTAAGAGTCACAAAAGCAGACTCTAACCAGGGGTCAAAAATTCATTTGTTATCGATGGGCCTAAATCCTGTTACCCCATGATCCTGTGATTGTTAGAAAGTTCTAGTTCTGCCTTCCACTGACATATTGGCCTGATGTTACCTGACCTCAGCAGTAAGTTTTTCCAGGACAGCAGCTTGTGTGTTTTCACGCTGTCCCCAGCAGAAGGCCATGCGTGGCGTGGGGTGAGGGTGCTTAGTAAATGTTTTTGGATTTTTCCAGTGTAGGAGTTCACTTCATTATTCAAGCCCTTTTCTCTGTTTAATGCTAATTCTTGACAATATGAAGGAAAACTGAATTTGTTGAATGTGTTCCATTTTTATTTTTCAGGATGTATATACGAAGACTCTATCTTTATGGTCTTATATCAATAGCCAGCTAGATGAATTTTCTAATCCCTTCTTTGTGAACTATGAAAACCACGTGCTATATCCCGTTGCTAGTCTGAGTCATTTGGAATTATGGGTAAACTATTATGTACGATGGAATCCACGAATGAGACCTCAGGTATCTCTTTTTTCTTCTTCTTTTCTAAAGAGCATATCTTTCTTTCCAAATAAAGAGGGCATTGTAAAAATGTGTGCATGGGAGGCATCAGCAGATACTACTGCAAGCCCTCTGCCCTCACCTTTGAGGGTTCAATTCTTTGCATTCATGTTCCGGCAGGTTCCTCCCAGACACCAGCCCAGATGCTGCTTGCTGGGTTAGAGTTAAAACTCTTACCACTTCTGTCTTCTGCTGCTGAAGGCACACAGATCAAGTGTCCTGGGTTACTGCATTTGATTCTGTCCTTCCAATGACTTTACGTGGCGCTGTTATGGGAGAACACACGGTACCAGGTGTCACACCTGGAGCCAGTGAAAGGCATTGGGAAACTACATGGCAGTCTGGTAGCGCAACACGAGGTTGTGTGCCGAGTCAGGAGTGGGTGCCCTTTCGAAGAAGGGAAAGTGGCCCCCCTGCCCACCATACTTTTTCCTTGTAACATTTTCTCAGAGATTGAAACAAATTAGAGACTGGTTCTGGCTCCCCCAGGCCTCCTCACCCCAGCCCCAAATGTTCCCACATTGCGTCCAGCAGGCCTCAATGACAGCAGGTGATCATGGTCCGGTGTTACCTCTCTTTGGAATTTCTTTACATTCCTCTCTCCCTTTAGACTTTGTGCTGCACAGTGGCGAGCCCCTGGCTCCACCGCTTGTTACCAGACTGAATCCTCCCCAAAACACAGAATGAGTGTGAGGGAGAACGTTCTTTTGAAATGGCAGGTGTGCCCCGAAGCCTGCAGGGAGCCAGAGAGGGGGCCGGTGCCATTAGCATACTCTTACGAAGCTGCTACCCTTGCAGTGGGGCCCAGAAGCCAGAACTGCTCTCCTTCTGGCTCTCGGGGCTTTGTTTAGAATGCCAAGCACAGAGGCCCCTGTGCTTACCCAAAGCCAGCATTCCCCTGCCACCAGCTTCCTCCTCACCGCTGTTTATTGCTGTCCTATTTTGGCTCTTTGCCAAGTTCTTCTTTCTTGAGTGGCTTCGATTTCATCTGTTTTAGCAACAGGGAAAAGGGACTATAACGGAGAGTGTCTGAAATCTACTTTATTTAGATCACATAGAGGGAGTTCCAAAACGAGTTTCCTTGGTGACTAAGAAGGACCAACTGGTCCACAGATACTCTTTAGCATTAGCGGGAAGCCCAACAGAGCTGCTACCGGAACTGGAGTGCCTCTGGTTAAAATTGGGCTTCTCGGTGACTGCAAGAGTCACCGTCTATTTTCCCCCTCTACTCAGCAAGTCACAGAGTTGAAGAAATGCTGACCAGTGGAGAGGTAAAATTGTCCAGATGAGGAGCGCCCCTAGAGCCAAGAGCACCTTCCCATCTCAACAGCTTCCTCTGCTGGTGGGCCAGCCCTGCGCACGTCCCCCTGCACTCGACATCACAAAATTCTGGAGGGCAGGGACCAATTCTTTCCAAACGGTGTAAAATACATGACAGATCTACATCCACTGCTCACTGATCGACATGGTTAGTTTCCAAAGACCAGGTCATTATGTGAAAATAGGCATTACGTGAAAATGGAAGATGACCACATCAGATCACAAAATGGAGGATGACTACATCATTACATAACTGCCAAATTACATCATTATGTAACTGCCAAACCACTGAGAATCATGGCCCAGCCAAGCTGACACATAACCTTAACCATAACAGCATTACTTTCACCTCGCACCTCGGATGAGAAGGGACGCGTTATGGATTGAATTATATATATATATCCCCCCAAATGTATGTCAGCTAGGCTATGATTCCCCATATTGAGTGGTTGTCCACCATTTGGTGATCTGATGTGATTATCCTATTTGTAAATCCTGACCTCTATGATGTTAATGAGGCAGAATTAGAGCAGTTATGTTAATGAGACAAGAGTCAGTCTACAGGATTAGGTTGTATCTTGAGTCAGTCTCTTTTGAGATAGAAAAGAGAATGGAGCAGAGAGGAGAGGGACCTCATACCACCAAGAATGACGAGCCAGGAGGGGAGTGCATCCTTTGGACCCAGGGTCCCTGCACAGAAGCTCCTAGACCAGGGGAAGATTGATGACAAAGACCTTCCCCCAGAGCTGACACAGCCTTCCCCTGGAGCTGGCACCCTGAATTCCGACTTGTAGCCTCCTAGCCTGTGAGAGAATAAATTCCTCTTTGTTAAAGTCATCCCCTTGCGGTATTTCTGTTAGAGCAACACTAGACGACTGAGACAGGAGGAAAGGCAGGTCTCACACCTACTGGATAATCTGCCCCTGCCCAAAAGCCTCGTCACCCTGCCTCCTCCACGGAACAGCAGCCTCCAGTGTCAGCTGAGACTCTGGACTCGTGGGGAGGGGTCACTGTACAGTTTGTAAAAGATTGGGCAGTGACTGTAGAGACTTTGGATGTACAAGGAGTCTTGATTTTGAAATACTCATAACGTTAACCCTCCCAGTGTCTAGATGTTGAAATGTTGCTTTAAAAAACAATGCCTCAAAAAGTTAGAGTTGCTGTGTGTGACCCAGCAATTCCGCTCCTAGGTATATACCCAAAGACTTGAAAGCAGGGACTCAAACAGATACATGTCCACCAGTGTTCACAGCAGCACTGTTCACAGTAACCAAAAAGTGGAAACAATCCAAGTGTCCATCAACAGATGATGGATAAACACAGTGTGGTCCATCCCTACAGTGGGACACTCCTCGGCCAGGAAGAGAAATGAAGTCCTGACACATGCTAAGACATGCGTGAACTTTGAAAGCACGATGCTGAGTGAAGTCAGCCACAAAAGGACAGATAACTGTATGACCCCACTTACAGGAAATGACACGGACGGCAAGTGTATAGAAACCAAAGTTTACCAGTGGTTTCCAGGGCGGCACTGGGTGGGACACAGCAAAATGGTGCAGGGTTTTTTTCGGGGACGGATGAAAATGTTGTGGACTTAGTGGTGATAGTTGCACAACTCTGTCAATGTACTAAAAACCGCGGAATCAGACACCTTAGAATGGTTAAAATGTGAGCTTGTTTCTCAATTAAGAGGGCAGTGCGCTAGGAGCCGCCTGGTAAATCAGCTGTGTCTCTGCTCCCCCCAGATGCCAATTCACCAGAATCTCAAGGAGCTGCTGGCCATCAGGATGGAGCTGCAGAAGAGGGTGGAGGACCTGCAGCGGGAGGTGGCCACGCGCTCCATCTCGTCCTCGTCTGAGCGTGGCTCCTCGCCTTCCCACTCGGCCACCCCGGTGCACACTTCCGTCTGATGGGCGGGCGTCGGGGGCAGGTGCTTCCTGCAGGCCCCCAGGTCTCAGGGCCTCCTGTGAGTAAAGAAGGGGCTAGGCGGTCTCTCAGCGGCCGCCGTTCCCACTGCAGCTTCTGATCTTGTCTTTTAGGATGAGGCCCCGTGGCCTCCGTGTCTGGATGGCGCTTCCAGCCATCGGCCATTCGTGCGGCTCGGCGGCAGCTCCTGCCGAGCCCCCTTTCGCCAGCGCATTTTGTCTCGTGAACAGCCTGTTCCTCTCTCGCCGGCAGGTTCACGGGCCCTGGCTGTCGGTTCGGCCCGGGAGCCACGTTCTGCCACGTCCAGGCAGCTTTGGAGCAACTAGCGTGAATTAGTGCAATACTTAGGTTTAAGAGAGTTTTACATGAATTATTTCACAATCCAGTACTTCATTCTAAACACACCCTGATCACTTTCCACGTTGGCCAGCCGTGGGGCTTCTTTCAGTTCTTTGCTACAACTTGAAAACTGTTTTTAAATATTTGGTGGGGAGACAGACATCTCTTCCAGTCCCCTTGGCGCGAGGGGCCCTCCTGTACCGATTACTGCTGTGTACATAGAAGGTATTTTTAAACAAGAGAAACATGCCTTTATTTTCCTATGTCCTTTTTTTATGTTTAGAATAGTCACCCGAGGAGGTATCTGCCTAGCTGTACCGGGTGAGAAATTCTTTCCAAGAAACCTCATGCGAACTTTTGTGTGGTACATTTGAAACCAGATTTGCATATGGCCATCTGAAGGGAACTAGTATGTCCTCGCCTCACTCGGGTACTTGCCCCCTAGGGTGGCCCGGGTCGGAACGAGGCATGCTCCGTCCTCCCCCAGTGAGGGGGTAAACCGAGGCCTCCCCATGGATTCCTCCATGGAGCCGCGCCCGTGGACCAGCCCTGTGGTGCCCTGGCCTTCTCACAGCTTTCCAATTGTCTGGAGGAAAGCAAGCGTGCTTGCACCTGTTACACGCCTGGCTGCAGCCACCCTCGCCTGTGACAAGATCCCCTAGCTCCGTGTATTCGCGCCACTGCATGCCAATATTGTAAAGCAACCACTGAGCCGTGGCTTCCGTTGCCAAAAGCTTCCCTGCTCCTGCTGGGGCTGCAGCTTTGTGTGGCGACCTACATGTGGTGACGGTGAGCTCCGTGCCTCTGCAGAACCCTGCAGCCAGCAGGCCGCACCCTCCTCCCCCAGCGCTGGGTCCCACCCTGGGAAATGAGGTCCTTCCCATCCGGGGGCCTCCAAGGCCTAGGGGCACACCCCAGGCCAGCGCGCTGGAGCCGTCCCGGCTGTTTCCGATTGACTGGATGCCAGGCAGAGTCCTTCTGATTGACCTTATTTCTGAGAGCGTGTTCTTAAAAAGAAGTTGTTTTTACAGTCAAATACTTGGAAACTTCTAATTCTGAGAGATCAATGATCCTTCAGTGAGCTACCAGAAATATTTATCCACGGTAATTTGACCATCTAAAATCAATGCTCAATTTTGATCATCTGGGTGATTTGTTTCTAAATCGTAGTTTAATTGAAATGAGCTTTCAATTTATTCTCCGAATGTAAACGGAATGATTGTATCCGTGGATACACTGATTTTCTTCAATGGGAACACTGCCCTTTTTTTCCCAGGAATAACACTCAATCCCCCAGCTGCCCCAGGGCTGTTGGATACTTTTGACCGAACCCGAGAATGCAAAGTGGCCTTTCTCACCACGGGTGCAGAGCTGGCCACCCAGCACTGGGGCCAGGTCCCTGCCTGCCAGCCTCGGTCCCAGCTGGGCCCCCGCAGAGTTCTGGGCAGCGCCTGCCCCGCTCCCCATGCGCTCCGCCCCAAGCAGGAGCCCTGCAAACCCCCATGATTTCAGAGAAGCACAACAGGTCCTTTCTTCTTTGTATGTTCCTAGAACAACTGAGTTTCTAAAACAACTTGAAGTACAGTTTTGTTACCTAAGCGACTCTTTTCTGTTTTATTTAAGTGTACTAGAATGTAAAACCTTTGCAGTTCAGGGTTTTAAAAACTGGTACAGTGTTGTATTTGCCTCGTCTGATGCACTGTTTCAATCTATAAATAAAATTATAATATGTTTGCTCCATGGTCTTGTTTTTTGCTGTCTTTCTCCTTTTTAGGAATTTTGGTAGCTTTTTCGTTTGGGGAAAATTCATAACAATAAAATACAGGAATTGAATATTTCCCGTGCCAGGAACAGGTCATATATGTAGAATGCCTTTGCATGATTTCTTACTGTCTTCAGTGTGATTGATCATAAAGTTTGAGTGTTTGGGCCACGATGGGTAAGCGCTCTGATTTGAAAATCTGAAATGCCCCTAGACTGTTGTTACCGCGAGAAAACACTGGGGACCGGGGTGCAGGGGGAGCTACGTGGAGACGCCCAGGCATCAGAACCCATGTGGGTGCTGTGTTGTCTAGGGCAGGAATCAGGTAGGCTTCCCAAGCAGCACCTGGGCCTCGCCCGCCTGCTTTATCTAAGAAGAAGGGATGCTGGCCCTTCCAGGGCTGGAGAGGCTGGGTGAAACCACCCCGCTTCCTGCAGGTCACCCTTTTTTAAGAGCCTGTGTCCATGTCCCTCCACACAGCAGCCACGGCCGAGTGAACCCGTTAAGTGGAAGAGGCCCAGCGGGACCCCAGCCAGGCATCTGTCATCATCCCCACAGTACCAGAGCAGCAAGGCTGCAGGGCCACTGCCCAGGTACCTGCTGGCTGTGCAGAACTTCGTGCAAGGATCGTGTGGTTCGGGGCTTGCAGACTTGGTGATATTTTACCACCAGCCTGGATTGGCCCAGAAACACCCTCTGACCTGGATACGAAGCCTCCTATCAATCACTGTGCAGGCCCGCTGCCCTCTGCACACTGCAGTGCCCGGCTGTCCTCCTGGCTCACGAGCCAAGCTGCAAAGCCACCCTCCACATGGCTGCAAGGCGCCACAGGGCTGCTGGGGCCCCTTCCCGCCTCCGCTTTCTCTGGCTGAAAACAACTGCAGGGACTAGAATCCACACCAGTCGCTGGCTTCCTTCTAAAAGGCCAACCAAGAGGCTTGGGAGTCGTGAGTCAGTCTGGGCTTCCAGCCGCAGCGCAGCTGCTGCCTGGCCCCACCTGGGCAGCACTGGACCCACAATCAATCAGCCTCCTGGAGGTGACACCGGGCAGGCCCCTCTGTATCAATCAATCACCAGACCTAAGCTTCTTTCTTTGTATAATGAGGGCCATGGCCTGGCTGCCCCCTGGAAGCCCTGACACTAAGCTGTTCATCAAGGGGGATGAAAGCAAGAACACAACCTTCTAGAGAAATCCCTTTGGCTGAGGAGGAAGGGAATCTGGTGGGCACCAAACCAAAGGTTATTATTTTAGGGAAAACCAGCATCACTTGACATCATCAGAATACAACGGCCTGTCAGGTTCGATTTTGTTTAATGCATACACTGGACAGTTTACAATTCACGCTTAAACACAGCACAGAAAAGATGTACAGGGAATTCACCAATCTCCGTTTCTTCTTCCTCAGAGAACTGGTGTGAACCCCCGAGTGGCCTCTACGGGCCCCCCCACCAGGAGGGTGCCCCACCTCATTGAGCTCAGGCTCAGACTTGTTACCGTAAATACTGAGCCTTTTTACTTTTGTTTTGCTTTTCCCTACCACGTGAAGCTGAGGCGGACTGGACATTTTCAGTTGGCCCCTGTAAGCTCACTCATTTTCTGTCCCCTACCCTAGGGCAGGCCCCAGCTGGCCGATGCAACTTTCAGGTGGACACACAGTCACCCCAAGAAGGTCCTAGGGTCCGCAGGCGGCAGCGCCCGAGAAGTGTAAACGCCGGTGCTGCTGTTCCCGCTGGAAGGATGAGCGGTCCGGGAACAGGAGGCTGAGGTGCTGTTCGGGGCATCCAGTTACTAGGAGCTACTGTCTGCCTTCCGCAGAAGGACCGAGGTAGCTCAGAGCAAAACAGAGCTTTGCTTTTGCTACTGAGAAAGGGTTTCACATCGAGCAGGGGTGAGAGTTGATTTTCTGTCACTGCTATAGCGTTCCCAAGTCTTTAGCGTGAGACAGGCCTCACTGGAAAGCCAGGGCGGACAAGCTCAGGCAGCCCGGCCCCGAGGGGCGCGCCCAGCCTTGGGGCAGACAGTCGAGAAGGCCCTGCCTGTGGACGGCCAGCCCAAGGCTCTACTGCAGCGCCATGCCTGGCTAGGCCAAGTGACACATGGCCCCATCACTCCTCACCCTGGTCACTGCTGTGACCGTGACTTCTTCACTGGCACCCTGATGTCGACGCACTTCCAGCCCAGGTGCTCAGGTAGGCCTCCAGGGGTGGGGTCATGAGCCCTCAGCATCTTTGGCGTTGCGGAGGGATAAATGTGAAAATCTGACAAAGTTAACAACAATCTGGCCAATGAGGGCGGGAGGGCCTGGAAACGGGTACATCTCGCAAACAATGCCCCCACTTGCTGATGAACCTGGAGGCTGGGGAGCTCCAAGAGGCCACAGTTTCAGGGTGTTTGCTCAGTGCAGGTCTAACTGGGATGAACAGTGAGCAGGAGAAGAGGTGTTTCGGAGCCGACCCTAAGGGCAGCCTGGAGACAGTGCTGCATCTGACTACTGACCCGCGATGAGTACGTTCTCCAAACCACGGCTAACACGAACGCACGAGGCACGCATCACAGAAAACGAGGGGGAGTCTGGTCTGAGTCCAGTGGTTTCCTTCAGAAGTCAAGAGTACCTCATCCTGCTTCATGGACGGGAAGGAGCCGTGTGGGCGAGGAGATGCTTGGGGCTGTCCGCAGTCCAAGGAGGCAAGCGGATTTATGTAAATAGGACCCCAACTTCCACCGACTGGTCACCAGTAGTCGGGCGCTCAAGAGCTGGGACAGCCTCGACACTAGAACCACACAGCACATTCCAAGAAGCCAGCTCTGCTGTGGCCCAAAGCAGACTGCTCCGGCGAGCCCTCTGTCGGAGCAGGACAGGCAGGGTGACTACAGAGTTCCCCATCATGTGCGTCACGAAACTGAGCCAACATCTCTTCCCCCCCCACCCCCCCAAAAAAATTTTTTTTAAGCAAACCCCAAGCATGCTCCTGGCTTCGATGCTCATTCCTGACGTCTGTAGCTCTGGATACCAGAGGGTCAGCATCTCCCCTGCCCCACCCACTAGGTATCAAACTCATTTCTGATGCATAACTGGGTCCTAGGAGCTTGAACCACGGCAGCCTTCAGACCACACCCAGTGGAGTCAGATGGGAATGAGGCCTGACAGTCACAGCCTCCTACCTACCTGGAAGACTCCTAAACTCTGAGGGTAGGACTGCGATGAGATGCATGTCTGCACTTAAATCACTGGAAGTCTCCACCGGCACCAGCTCCCCGCAAGCCCAGCGCTTCAAACCTGTCATCTAAAGGAGGCCAAACTAAACGCGCCCCCTGGCTGGTGTGTGCACGCATGTGTGCGCCCAACCGTATGCGTGTATGTGCGTGTACGCGTGTGTGTGTAGGCGGGGGGGTACTACTTGGTGCTGACTGAGTTGCTCCCTGCAGGGGCTCCAAGGATACCCCTAGACACCCTACATACCAGGTATTAGCTAGGGGCTCACCCCATTTACAGCTTTTGAGGACGCTGCCCCAGGCGGGCCCGCCACAAAGAGCCCAGCCAGCACGTCTGTGGATCACAGTACCCTAGGTTCAAGTCTTGTCCTCTAAGCACAAGTGGCCTCCTTCATCCTCGTCCCCAGCGGGCAAGCTGGCGCTGCCTTTGCCCAAGCAGGGCTGGGCTTACAGCATCACGCCTCTGCAGAGCACACGGCAGGCATGGGGCCCAGCCCGCGCTCAGGGCCGGAAACCAAACTTGCAAACACCAAGAGCTCATCCGGAGAACTGAGAGCAACGAGAAGCCAATGACGTCGACAAAGCAGCTGTGGGTCCAGATGAGAGAGAGGCTGGGGCACAAGCGGGCGCCTCAGATCCGGGGCGGCTCGGGCGCCGGCGGCTGTGCTGTCTGGGCTTGCAGCGATGAGTATTTCACTAGGAAAACGAGACGCCCATTAGGAGAGATTCGTTTCTGCCCAGGACAGGAGGGGAAAGCCGGAAGCTTGGTCCCCACACTGTTCTGCCCAGGAGCTGGCTCTGGGAACAAAACTCTGGACCGGTCAGGAAGAGAGCTCTTGGGAGAGATGAGGGGGAACCGGCAGGCCCTGGACACAGCTCAGACTCGGTTTGCTCCTCTGTAAAGTGGGGGTGCTCCTTACAGGGCTGCAGACAGGGGGACTGTAAATAACAAAAACTCCTCACGCATTGAACGCAGCCTGTAGACGGTGCTCAGTGCGTGCTGGCTAGCAGGTTCACAACTGTATAATTACCGTGAATCCTAGCGTGGAGGAAGATTCTCCCATTCTAATCCACGTGCTGCCCCATGGCCAGGTCACTCGCCCCCATGATGCACCACACGGAGCCCAGGGCCTCCTGGCCTCTCAGCCTCTGCCTGCCCTGCCCATGCCTTCAGCTCCACCTGGGCTCCTGCACGCCCTGTCTGGGCCCACCACGGCCTGCATGGCCCTCCCCAGCCTCGGCTGATGGACACTGGTCTGTGCCACCTCCTCGGCCCGGCGGACCACCCCCTTTGCTGGCACCACGGGCACTTGTCGGCAATGCCGCCTCCTCAGCACCACAGGCCACCCTGGATGGCCTCAAATCACCGACAGCTCCTGGAGCCAGAAAAGTGCTGATGACCACAGAGGTGAGAGGAAGGAAGGCACAGAGAGACAGGGAGGCCTGTGGCAATTTTCCCATCAGAGTTGGGGCCTGGGATTCACCAGCAGGCGTCTGTTGGGGCTGACAGGGAGCAGATGTACCAGAAGCAGAGGCTGAGCCCCAACAGTGCCCAGAAGTCGTCAGGATGGCCCTGGCTGGGAGGCAGTGTCCCTGATGCCATGAAGCTGGCAGCGCTGCCGCTCTGATTAGGAGCTCCAGGCAGCCAAGACCCCAGGCCCCGCCACACCCACATCAGCTGGCAATCCTGGTAACAGAACCAGCTTGGAGACCTTCAGCAAGGGACAGTGACCAGAAGGCCTCACCTTGGGGCTCCTCACACACCACGGCTTCCAGGTTCTCCCCCTTCACATAGTCTGCGTTGAGGCCCTCTGCAAAGCAAAGGCAAAGGGCAGCGTGAGTGACAGACACAGGACACACAATGCATGCCAAAGGCCTTGCCACCCCATTACCCGAGGGCAGCTGCCACCTCAGGCAAGATGGTGGCAGGGGTGGGTCGACGGTGGGGCTCAGAGTTGGCCCAGGAGCCCGGGGACAGAAAGGGAGCCAAGCATGGCACGGGTGACTGACGGATGCAAGGGGGGGAGATGCCAGCAAAGCCGCCTGCCAACCTACGGCCTTCCCAGCAACATGCCCGCAGCTTCCCCTGGAGCAGGTCCCCCTCCCTCATCAAGCCTGGCGGGCCCAGGGCCTCAACAGCCATTCCCCAATCTTCTGCCAGGAGGTGCTGAAGGTCTCTACAAAAGCATCCTCTTCAGACTGGCACACAGGCCACTGAGTGGCTCCAGGCTGCACACAGGGCCACCTCTCAGGACTTGGGGTAGGTCCCCATCCCTGCTTCTGCTTGAGGAGAGCCAGGAGTCGGGGAAAACTCAGCTCAGATCCTCCTCCCTCTGCCAACCGCCCGCCGCAGGTGCCAGCGCAAGGCCTCCACCCGCCGGGGCTGCAGGAGCCTTCTAGTGAAGGGGCGGCTGTGACCCAGCCTCAAGTACATGGGCCTTCCCTGCAGGTCCTGGGTTTGAGCTGCCCACCAGATGCAGAGGCTGCTCTTTGGGTGGTCCAGCCAGCCCCCACGCCAGGCAGGGTAGTGGTGGGGCCTGCTGGAGGCTGCTTTGGGATGCACCTGCCCACCTGATGGCCAGGGGCACTTGGCTGTCTGCTGATTGGGGACAACCACCAGTGGCCACCTGAGTCCCACCCCTACACATCTCTAAACCCAGCCCACCTCAAGCTGGGCACAGAAGGTCTGGCAGGTGGCGCCTAAGCCACCTATCAGGGGAAGCTGGAAGCTGGTTGTGACGGCAGCCAGGTGGGTGAGTGCCAGGGAAGAGGTGATGAAGGGCAAGGGCAGTGGGAGGGGGTGAGGTGAATGATATGGCATCAAGGCCAAAGCAGGAGAGGAAAAGTAAGCACATATTTACCTTGACCGTCTGCTGCATCTGAAGGCAAGATACAAAGCTGAGAATGCAAACACACGCTCAGCGCCCCCGACACGAACCCATGGCAGTTGCCAAGGCACATGGACCCTTAGGGCCACTGAGAAAGGGGCGGCAGAGGCCGGGACTACCTGGGGCTTCCCAGCCTGCTTTCAAGTGTCCGCTCTGCCTGGGCACAGACCTGGCCTTCCCTAATCTCCGCCCCATGGTGGCCGAGGCGAGGCTCAGCCAGAAGGGCAGGGCCAAGAGGCCATACCTGCAAACACCCACGGGCTCCTCCCGAGTGCGGCTGCTGCTCGGTGCCTGGGACACCTCAGTGGACAAAGCGCACACAGACCCTCACGGAGCTGAGGGTCCAGAGAGTGATGGCGGCGGCAGACACAGACATGCCCGCCTCTCTACAGGTCAGTGGGGACGCTGTGGCCGCAAGGAGGAAGCCAGAAGGCTTGGGGAGGGGCTGCCTGGGGGCCTGAAGGAGAGGGGACAGCACAGCCGAGACGGGCAGCTGGGAAGGGCAGGTACCCTCGGAGAAGTGAGCCTGCAGGTGGGGCGAGGAGGGATGCAGCTGGAACCAAATCATGAAGGGCTTTGAATGCCAAGCTCAGGAACTAGGCCGCGGCTTTGAGGGCACTAGGGAGCAGGGGGCGGTCCAGGCAGAGCACTGGAAACAGGTCCCTCTGGCTTCTGGGAGGAGGGTGGAGTACGCGGGAAAGGGGGGAAGGCAGGAGGCTGACGGAACCATCCAGATGACGGACAAGGGGACGTGGGCCCAGGACGGGCAGGGGCCATGGTGATGGCGATGGGGAGGCAGGCCCAAGAGGCGAGGGCACGGCAGCACCAGACCCAGGAGGGGAGCATGAGGTGGGACAGGGGGAGGATCCAGGACTGCCAGGCCTCCAGCCTGGGGAGACTGACAGGCCAGGAAGGGAACATGAGAGACGGAAGGGTGAAGGGGAAGGACAGGGAACACTTCCATCCACAGGCTGGGAGCAGGGAGTGCTTCCCCACGGAGCTGCCCTGCCTTGCCTTGGTCCCTGGAACCCACGCTCTCCGGGCTCTCGTCCTCATCTCTGGCCCCATCCGGCCACACCTCCCCACCCACTTCAGACCCCATTTGCCCACAGCTGCAGGGCGGCTCCCCGGGAACCTGTGAACTCCCCCCTGTACCTGCCCTTGCAGAGAGCTGGCTCCCACGTCTGTGTCTGCCACCACCCCCACCCTCACCCCCATCCCCGCTCTCTGGGCCCATAGGCAGCTCTGAGTTGTTCTCCCAACGTTCCCTTGGCCAGGCCATGGCTCCCTTCCTTCCAACGGGGAGGGAAGGAGCACGGAGAGATGGCAACCCCAAACAGGTTCCACTGACAGTCCTTGGCCACAGGCCCAGAGCAGGGGAGGGCAGGCCTCACAGGATGCTAAGCTTTCCACCACTTCCCAGGGGCTGAGGAGCGTGAGGCAGGGGGAGCCCTCCAGCTGAGCCAGGTTCTGTCACTAAAAGTAGAAAAATACCAGCCTTAAACTTGAGACACTCCACTCAGCAAAGGCAACACATCAACAGCTGTGCTTGTAAAACCCACAAATGTTGGTCCTTCCTGCTCACTCTCAACAGCACCCCCAAGGGGACTCCCTCACAGGGGTCGCAGGAGATCTTTAAGAGGGGATTCCATTTGTGACTACTTCATTTACTCAAAGCTTAGACTCCTAGCCACAGCAGAAAATAAAAGCAACCTATCTTTTCAAAATCTAGCATATAAAGTGGGGGCAAAGGCCACTTTACACTTCCTCTTGCATTCCTAATACTCTAAAGCAATGCATGAGGGGGAGGAGCCGAGATGGCGGCGTAGCCAGCCGCGCCATGCCCTCCCCCTACGGCAAAGACGTGAAACACCAAGTGAAACAGACGCCAAGTAACAATCCTCGAACCCCGAACAACAAAAAAGAAGGATGAAGAATCCAATCAAGTACTGACTGGAAGGAAAAACTGAACGAACACAGTGAACGAGGAGTAACACAGAAGGCAGGTGCTCTACCAGCCATCCTGGCTCAACGTGGCCATCCAAAGACAAAGCCAGTAGCAACCCCAGGTGAGAAACACAGGGAAGCAACTTCACAGCATTCCCATAAGAAAAAGAGAAACTGCACAGATACACCCAGAGAGAAGCAAGGTGATGAGCTCATGATCCAGATCTAAGGAAGGAAAATACCGAAAAGAGTGAAAATTACAGGGATTCTGCTGTCCACACAGCAGGGAGGGAGCTAGGATCCAGAGCCAGATATACTCACAATTAGTGGTCCCTTACCTCTGGGGTGAGCGATGTGCACGAGGAGATGGATCCACAGAGTATTGGCGGGAGGTCTCCCACCCGACTGGATACTGGGCCCCCTCCACCTTGCATTAGGTCAGTGGCAGGTCCCACCTACTGGCTGCAGTGGATAATGTGACACCAACATCAGCTAGCCAGAGGGGTGCACTCTGCCTCCCCCCACCCTCCTGACTGGAACTGGCAGAAGGTCTCACACCCCAGCCAACCTGCCTGACCAGAAACCATATCATAAGCCCATCCACCCCAGCCCCATCCACCACCCCCTCCTGACCATCTGACAAGTGGTAGTACGTGTGCTCCTGCCCACCACCAACAACCCCCACCCCCGGGCCTGGTAAGCAGCAGCAACTGCGCGCACATATGTGCACACCTGCCCGCCGCCCACTGCCTGTGCCCCGCCTGGCCTGGCAAGAGGTGGCAATGACAAAACCAAGCATAAGCCTGCTCAGTGCTCCCTCCCCCCACCCAGTGAGAGGTGGCGGTAGCCCAATCATGCATACGCCTGCCTGACACTCCCTCCCCCCTCCTCCCACCCAGTGAGAGGCAGCAGTGGTGTCACGGGTGTTTGCACCCGCCTGCCACTCACTCCCCCACCTGGAACTGCACGCACACACGCCTATCTGCTGCCAGTGCCCCTCCCGGTCCAGCAAGAAGTAGCGACAGTGCAGCTGCACACACACCCGCATGCCACTCACCCCTTCCCCCCACCCTGTGAGGGGCAGCAAGCACATGACCACACGCACACCAAGCCACCACTCATCCCCACCCCTACCTGGTAAGAGGCAGAGGCAGCGCAACTGTGTGCGCACCTGCCCATAACTCACCCCCCTAACCTGCAGGAGGTGGTGACAGCGTCCCCACTAGCCAGCCACACCCACACCCACCACCCCACCCACTTGCCAAGCATCACTGCCGGCTCCTGCGCCACTGGACCGATGACAGATGGTGACCAACACCTGCCCAGTCTTCCCTCAGCCACCCTGCAAGACCAGTGAACAGAGACTGGTGCTCACACACTCAGTCACTACCCTTCCCACCCGGAGACAGGTAGCAAGCGCTCTAGTGCAGCCAGACTAGTGACCAGAGTAGCATGCCTGTCCCACCTGCCTGGAACAAAACAAAAAATCAGGATGTAGCAAATAAACATACAATAAATAAATACATATAATAACACCTTAATGCCTCGGAAACAACAGATATCAAATCACCTAAAGAAGCAGGACAAGATGGCTCTAGCAGGTGACCAAAATAAAGAACCAGAAAACCTCCCTAAGGAAGAAATGGGTAATGGAACTACCTGATAAGGAATTCAAAAGACTTACATATACGGTCCTCTAAGAGATCAAGGAAAACATACAAAAACAAGGAAAACACAGACAAAACACTAGAAGAATTCAGGAAAGCAATACAAGAACAAAATGACAAAATAAATACAGAATTATAAAGTGTACAAAAACAGCAACTAGAAATCCAGAAAATTAACAATAAAATTTCAGGAATAGTCAACTTAATGGAAGTGTGTAGGAGAAGAATCAAGTCAATGGAAGACAGAATCAACAAAATAGAGGACAAAACACTTAAGACTAATTTCTTTGAGGAACAACCAGAAAAAAG